CCTCACATTCATCACACAATCACCATACACTAACCTCACATTCATCACACAATCACCATACACTAACCTCACATTCATCACACAATCACCATACACTAACCTCACATTCATCACACAATCACCACACAATCACCGCACATTCATCACACAATCACCCCACATTCATCACACAATCACCATACACTAACCTCACATTCATCACACAATCACCACACAATCACCCCACATTCATCCCACATTCATCACACAATCACCATACACTAACCTCACATTCATCACACAATCACCACACAATCACCTGACATTGACCACACCTGCGCAGCATGTATTGCCACAAGTAGGCAGCAGGCAGCTGGCAGCAGGCAGCACGCAGCTGGCAGCAGGCAGCACGCAGCAGGCAGCACGCAACAAGTAGCAAGCAGCAGCAGCAGCTGCAGCAGCATGCCTCCTATTGCCTAGTCAGCATTGCTGCTCGCTCAAGGCCGTTAGCATTTCCTCAGCTCCCCGACACCAACGCTCAGTGCTACATCAATCTGACGTTGCTGCATGGCTCGTACGTCAAATTATCCAGGATATGTGCCATTTGCATACCCTATAATATAATGATATCATTCTCAAATTGTATCTTCAGATTTTTTTTTCGATTTTTCAAAATGGCAAGTGGTGGTGGGGTGAGTGGTGGTGGGGTGAGTAGTGGTGGGGTGAGTGGTGGTGGGGTGAGTGGTGGTGGGGTGAGTGGTGNATTTTTTGCTCAAGGGTTCTGGTTTTTTGTGTAATCTTGTGTATAATTTTGAATAATCTTATATTTTGCCATATCAAATATAGTACTCTATCCACCTTCATGATGATCATATACTCAGCAATAAATTTGTTAGCTCATCACTCACTAGTTCTACCTTCTCTGTACATGACTTGTACCTCTCCACTCTCATGGCATTTTAATTATCACTTCCTCATATTCAAGTGTTTAATGATGGCATCACAAAGCAGTTACTCACACTGGATGGTACCATTCCTGTACCCTTCAAGGGTGAGTTTAATGAGGCCTTAATGTTACTGCTCTGCCTGGAAGATCTCCTGTTACATTTCCTCTCCATGCATTATTTGCCTGTTAATTTTCTCAGTATTGAGATCTGGCGTGCCATCTTATTTGCATTGATTGCATTTCAATACTTGATTGCTTGTACATCAACTTATGGACTGGGATGTAAACATTTCATTGAAATCTTACTTGCAGAAACCATGTGGGGATTATAAATGACTGACTGGCCTGTTTTATTGTTCAAATGACGACATGGAGAATCTTTAAATGTATTTTGAAGGCTGTGCATGTGATCTTTCAGGCTTGCATGAGTATGATGCTTAAAAATTACATTGGCTCAACTGCTGATGCTGCTGTTTGGTTTTAATAAAATTTGTGGCTAACTAAAACTCATTAGGTGGAAATTGCCACAAATTTTCTTAACCACAACACAGTTTTGCAGAGGCCAAATTTTCTATCATTCTGTGATTATCATTACTTGTCTCTGTCTCAGCCTGCTTCTGAAGTGTTTAGTAGTGGAACATCCCGCTACCTGCTGTGTCTTGAAGGAACAACACCTGTTGTCTACAAAGATAATACAATTTTATTGTTGACAAGATGCTGTGAAGCTTTTACCCTGCTTTGCACCTTCTTCCTGTTGCATCGCACTCTGTGACCGTGCTTAATTGCTTAGTTACCAGAAACCTCTCCTACTCGCTCTTGGTCAAAATTTGTTTCACACCTGAACTGAAGTGCTGGCTCTGAAGTGCTTAAATTTATTCTTACAAAAGTCTTCAAAGTTGGCTTTCTTGTTGATATTTTATTGTTTTTGAGTGGATGCCTGATTTCTCTCAATTCCTGATGTATGGTAAAGGAGTTTTCTGGTCTGCTAATATATTTGGTCTGCTACAACATATGTAGTCTAGTTAATTATTATTTATTCTTTAATGTGAGACTTATGCTGCAATTATTTAGTCACATCGGTTGCAAGTTGTGAGACCTGCATTAATTAACTCAAATCAATGCAAATATATTGAAATTTCTGGATTTTTTTTAATAGCCTTGCTGCCAATTGATATGTACCTATACCGTATTGCTTTTCTTGGCTTCTGTCCACTTGTAATTACTTGCAATGGTAAACTCCTTAGGCTCTCTGCTATCAGAAGGCTAGAAACTTTTTTGCCAACTAGAATGCTATGTGTGAAATACTGAAAGACTCGTTGTATTTCTTAATTTTGTGATTTTATTTATTTTCAAAGAATTCACAATCTTGTTATCAAGTGATGTTTTGAATGCAACTGACACTTATATTACTATCTTTACATCATCCAATATTTTGTAGTAGAATGTACAACCTATCGTTAAGGATTTTATATATGTGCTAAATATTGTAGGTATCACCTACAACATCCCCATCTGCCTGTGGATATTGGACACCCACCCATACTCTGCCCCCATGGCTTTTGTCAAGCCGACTGCAGATATGTCCATCAAGGCCTCTAGGCACGTCGACCAAAATGGCAAGATCTACTTGCCTTACCTTCAGGAGTGGAATCCAGTAAGTTTTTGTTCTGTATTGAACTTTGAAGAGTGCATATATCTCTTCATTTTCAATATTTTTTCATATAGTAGGTTTTATGCTAGTACAGACCTCATCATACGGGATGATTTTCAGTATATATCGAATGATAAATTGTCATAAATTTCAGTAAATATAAAAAAATTGATTTGTATGCAATAGCTTTAAAATATCAGTTATCATGTTCATCTCCATATTTGTATTCACTGAAGATATTTTGTATTCTAACAACCTGTGTTACACTAAAAACTTATCATGTTTAAATAAGTTTTCTAGTATAATTATTTGTTTCAGGACGTTTCAGATTTGATTGGCCTGGTGCAAGTGATGATCATGACGTTCAGTGAGATGCCTCCTGTCTATGCAAAACCTAAAAGAGCGCCTCCTACTCCAGCCCAGCCTGCCATGCCAAACCCAACTACCCCGTATCCTACCCAGCCAAGTGAGTGCACATCATGTTAGCGCGCTGTGATAACCTTATTAAATTGTGATTGATGACCTATTGGCCGTTCTTAAGAGTGATGGCCTCTTGTATGACATTCATGTTGCGTGTGTGACGCTCATGTGTCATGTCTGATGCACGTGTATCGTGTGTGATGCTCACTTGTTTTGTGTGTGACAGGCACGTATCTCGTGTGTGAGACGAGCCTGTCTCGTTTGTGAGACGTATTTTTCGTTTTTGATTCTAATAGAATATTTATGTAGTTGGTTCAGTTCTTCATGCTATTACTTAATTACATTCACAGTCTAGAATCGCATCTTGTGTATGCCTGGTCCTGGTTGATCTGATCAGGGTCAGCTGAGGAGATCTCCAACTTGATCTCTTTTTTGTTGTGTGCCCTTCAAAACATCGAAACCTTCTTTAAATATCGACATCCAATGAAGAAATACCGGGTAGTCGTTTTTTTTAATTTAAATTGAAATAATGCTCCTATATTTTAAAGTTTTCAATAGTTTTGACGGAGGCAAAATAAGAGTAATGGAGGTATATAAAGAAAAAAGTTTATTTTCCTCAAGATTAGCATAACATACCATTTAAAATACTTATGTTTTGAAAACAATATCAGGAATATAGTGTTTGTTAGCTGTATCACACTGTTGGAGTCGTTCTCAGAAGTTTCCTACAGCTCGTTCACACATATGGCGAGGTATGGCAATAACCTCTGCTACAATAATCCGTTTTTTAGCTGTGGTAGGGTGTGAGGGCAACTTCTGAACCCCTTTCTTTTAGATGTTCCCAAAGAAATAAATCGCAAATGCTTAAATCAGGTGACCTCGCAGGCCACTGTGAATCACCCCTCAGAGACACCAGACGTCCGGGAAACATGCGTTTCAAAACATTGAGTGACATTCGGGCTGTGTGAGCTGTGGCCCCATCCTGCTGGAACCACACGTTTCCCAGTGCTTCATTTTCAACAATGTTTTCCATCCTGGACTGCAAGAAATTTTGCAAAATTGCAGCATAGCGATCGAAATTCACTGTCACTGTTACTCCCTCCTCTGAGAACGACTCCAACAGTGTGTTGCAGCCAAAAAAATCACCAACCCTTGTGAGTACAGTTCTAGGTGCTTCAGCCTTCCCCAGTAGTTCAGGTTCAGCTCCCTCATGCCGCTGATCCTGTACGTGAAGGTCCGCAGCACTGCCTCCATTGGCCATTATTGAAGGCAATAAGTGCCCTTTTTAGCCATCCATTATGATCCATATACTGTTATTGTTAGTAGGCTAGTTGCAACATAAAAAATAACACTTCAAAAAGACAAAAAAGCTGAAAAAAATAAAAAAATCAAATAAATCATGAAAAAAATAAAAAAAATCATTGATTTTTTATTTATTTATTTTTGTTATTTTTTTAATCAAAAAAAATCACCAACCCTGTTTATAGCCATTTATATCTTGCTACATCCTTAAGGTGTCAGAATATGGTGTGTTTACCCTAGTGCAGATTGTGGAAGTTGAAAATTTTATGAAATGACATGTTTGCAGAGTGCAAACGCAATTTTTCAATCAAACAAAAATACATGACTTTTGAGCCACAAGATTTCATACCTACTGAAATTATATGATAATAGAGCCATGATATTTCAGAAAAAATAGGACTTTTCCAGCCCTGGGTAGAAGTGTGTTAAATATTGTATTGATTATAAGATTTGTATCAGATGGACAGACAAACAACATAAGGTGAAGTTAAAGGAAAGTGTGGTAAATCTGCAGTTTTTTCTGTTTTTAAACATAATAATTTATGAAAAAGTTACGTGAAACGGTGAAGCTGACCAGATTCATGGGTATTTTTGTATAATTAAAGTGTTGCTTCTACCCGATTTTCCATTAAATCTAGAATATTAGTTGTAAGAAATTGAGATTGCCTAATTCAATCAGAAAAATTAATAAAAATTTGTCACATTGGAATTAATTGGACAATTTATTTATTTAGAGGGATGCAAAGAAACTCTGCTGATGACCCTTTGCTAAAGTTGAATGACAACAAGAATCAGTAAATTTATCTAGTTTAGTATACATCATGGGATTTGTTTCAATTAACTATTAAGCTTGAAAACTATGGTCGCAAGAAAATTGGTCTGGTTGGTAGGAAGAAATCTTGAAGGGCATTTCCCCAGTTAATTCTCCAATACAGAAAGAAAAAACTAAAAGGTAACAATTTACTAATTGAACAGATAGTATTATCTAAATGTTACTCACTAAAAATTATGGTATCAAACATTGACAAGTATGATTATTGCAAAATTAACAACCTTAAGATTTTGGTGCAACAAAGTGCTGAAAGCTATAGTAAGATGGTTAAAAGGAAACTTGGGAGGAATGAGGATACCAGTAAGAGGAAGATATTCTAGAGTAGATAGGAAATAAGAATAGTACAGTTCGGAGATTTGAACTTTGGAAATCAGGGAAAGGTTATAAGTTATAACTTATAAAAAATGTTGGTCTTGGCTATGGAAACTGGCTCTACAGCAATTACTAGAGACCAAGCTACAAAGAATTTGAAGTTACAATGATTTAATTATTGATGTAGGCATTAAGTAAATTGTCTGCAGTACTGTAGAATAAATTGATACTAATCTAATCTGTACTGGTATGTATATATTTTTTGGAACTCATGTGTCCTGTAGTTGAAATGAAGAGAAAATTGTGTTAAACTTCTAAATATTTCTATCATTTGCAAACTCCTTTATTAAAAAAATCAGTTCATAATGTCAGGTAGCACTGAACAGCGTGTGGCTCGAGCACTGGCTAATCGGGTGAGTAGATAATCTTTTAAAATTATTATTATTATTTTTTTTAAAGGCCTCCCACATTCACCATTCCAACAAAAAAAAAGGAATTGATTTTATTAATTAAAAACAGGGAATGGTTTCATGTCAATGATC